ATGTCTGCCTCAATGTGGCTGCTGAGAGAACAGAAAGCAACAAAGTGGTGTCCCACGGAGCGGTTCTTCAAAGATCTATCAGTCCGCTCGTTGATGATATCACTGTGTTAGATACGGATTATGCAGATGACATGGCTGTACTGGATAACAGCGAGGAAGGTCTTCAAGAAACGACTGACCTTTTGTGTATGTATGGTGCCCAGGGAGGTCTTAGAATCAATGGTAAAAAGACTGAGGCTATGGTCATTGGTAAAGCAACCTCTCAACGGCCATACACGAAAGAAGCCACAGTGAACATCACTGTTGAAGACACGCCAGTGCAGCAAGTTAGTGACTTTACGTACTTAGGTACAATTATTTCCAGCGACGGTACTATCGACCGTGAGCTGTCAGCTAGGATTCAGAAAGCTTCCGGAGCCTTCAATCAACTGAGTAATATATGGAAAAACCGCAACATCCAGTCTTATACAAAGATCAGGATTTATAAGGCAGCGGTTTTGACAATATTGTTATATGGTAGTGAGGTTTGGAACACAACCAAAAAGCAGCTACATCGCTTTGAGGTGTTCCATCAGCGTTGCTTGAGGAGAATACTTAGGATAAGATGGCTCGATCGGGTTAGAAACACTGAAGTACTGGAGCGTGCAAAGATAAATCCAGTAGAGACGTACATAGAAGCAAACCGCCTGCGCTGGTTTGGCCATGTCACCAGAATGCCAGACACTAGGCTTCCTAAGTACCTGCTTAATTGGACCCCTGCCCATGGGAGAAGATCTAGGGGCCGTCCAAGAAAGAACTGGAGGAAATGTTTGCTGGAAGATGCTGCAGCGTTTACAGGAAACACTGACATAGACCTAGAAGGAGCGAGCGAGATGGCTAGTGACCGCAAACTTTGGAGGGAGATGATACGTCACAAACGGGAGTTCATTGGTGCAGGCCACTCGAATGATTGAGAAGACCTAATCAAGTACAAGTAAGTAAGGCTTTACAATCAACATTTATCTTCGTATTTTAGATTTTAGATCTTGAATTACCCAGTTACCTGGTTGACTAGGTCTAAAGAAATCAGACGCAGTGTCGCTGGAGGAAGGAAACGTTATCTTTGCAATGCTGCTGCTCCAGTAAATGCTCCAGTTAGTGTTACCACACGTTGAGTCTGATATCAGGATGTTGAGCACCTCCACCTCGTTACAGTGTACCACTAGTCTGATACCTGAGGTGCTAGTTAACGTTACCCTCCATACCTTGTCTGTTGCAGTAGGTAGGTCAGTAGGGAAGTTAGTGCGGCTCGAGCTGCAACGCCAGATACGGTACTGAGGAGAGGAGGTGAAGTAGAGGGAGAGTGATCGTGCACCGTCTTCCTGCGAATTGTAGAAGAACACACGCACTTCATCTTCACTCCCTAACGTGCTATCAGTCTTTATTTCAAGAGAATGCTGCTCCAGATTGAAGTCTATATATTCATCACGTTGTACTGCTACCCAACCTGTTGTTATAAACCACGTTATCATCTAAAAGCAGATTACAGTACATCAGCTGGTAGATAACAATATCACGAGTAAAATATTATCAATTATAGAAATTACTCGACGATTGTAGTGTTATGAATATACTAGATTGATTGTCCATTTCATGGTTCAATCGACTACAAAATACAAATATTATTTTAAGATATTATTTGACTGCTAACAATATAAATTATGTAAAAACCATGGTGATCCTACCTTCATCTAGATCCTCAGCAGCATTTTCAATGAACAGAAGGGACAGCAGCAAGATTATCCGCATGATACGAAATGATACGTTGAAAACCTCCGTTATAATTCTAAAAACTACACTGGAAAATAGGCCACATTATATAGCAAATAACGACAGTTAAATAATCAATAGAAGAGCTATATTATCAGATATCGAATAATCTATGAATGTAATGATATCCCCGGATATCAGCTGGGTGTCTTATTGAAATGCGGTGGTAAATGGGGTGGTAAATGGGGTGGTAAATGGGGTGGTAAATGGGGTGGTAAATGGGGTGGTAAGTGGGGTGGTAAATGGGGTGGTAAATGGGGTGGTAAATGGGATGGTAAAAGGGGTTAGTAAATGGGGTGGTAAATGGGGTAGTAAATGGGGTGGTTAATGGGCTAGTAAATGGGGTGGTGAATGGGGTGGTAAATGGGGTGGTAAATGGGGCGAGAGGGACATCAGTAAAATGAAAAATAATGTGTCGTGTGTCGAATATGCATACTGCATTGTGCACAAATATCTTTATAACCAAATTCTATGAATTTGTACATTTGAGTAAGTTATAATACATCCTGGAGTCTGCCTAAGATTAACACTTGGTTAAGTCTCGTGAGAAGCTGAAATATTTTGAACTAAGTGCTTTACTTCAACTTACTCACGAGAGCATTAAAACTCAACAACAAGATGTCTGAGAACTTTGTCACCATGCTGAACCAGTGCATCTCTGATCGTGCATATGCGGTGCAGCTCTTTGCCTGGGGTCAATATCACCGTGCTGTCCCAATACCATTAGTGAACTAGTAACTCACTATTCAGAAAGACCAGTATATCGTTACTTTGCAGCAGTCCCAATGGCAATACCATTAGTTAGCTGGTAGCTCACTGTCTACTCGCCCAGTTAAGGACTAAGGACGTATGTAGATTGTAGAAACTGTTACATACTATATTGTCGTTCTAGAGAGCAAAGAAAAGCAAAGGAATATCAGAGTCACCCACTCTGTCTGTTTTATAAAGGTTAAATAACCTTTTACCCGGGGACCTCAGGATTTGGTGTTCATATAAAAGATATGGCAGAATGACAGGCTGAGCGCCGCCCAGTAAATAAGCTCTAGCTCAAGTAGTAAACTTAAAGAACGCACGAATCACAGTATCCACCACACCTGTGTGTCACGTACCATTATAATAGATTCACGTCACGATACCTGCTGTTTGTTAAATCTGGCCGGGGCCACAGCGTGCTAAATCACTCTCCACTCGATCTTTTAGTTTTTCTACAGGGTTGGGTTGGGAGCGGATTAGAGGGTGAGGGTTTCAAATAGTCTTCCAGGGCCAAAACGGGTTGAAAATGTCATGTGACAGTCGAGTGTAGGGTGATTAATCATCATCCCAGCGCGGAGCAACAATTTGGGTTTCAGCTTTAGTGGTGGTGTCAACTCTCACTCTCAGGAATCTCGTCGGACAAATACGCCAGCTGATAAGTTAGCTCATTAGCAGCACTAAACGCTAAATACTAAGAAAACCGTAGACCCCAGGCTATAAGTGCAATGTTCATAAACAATAAAGATTCGGCGGAATGACAGGCTTTATTGGGCGGCGCTCAGCCTGTCCACTGTCATTCCGCCAAATCTCTATTCGGTTTATATGATTAGTATTATGAACATAGCATAATTATAACTTTATAATAGACTGGGGTCCCCGGCCACAGGGAGACTAAAGTGCAAAGAAACTGCTGCTAACTGCTGCTAACTGCTGCTAGCTGCTACCATTATACCAGTACACTTAGTGCCTGTATACTTGCTACTCTGGTACTGGGTATTAATATTATTGTACAGCATGCTACTAGTACTCTAGTAGTAGTTCACTTAGTGCCTGTATACTTGCTACTCTGGTACTGGGTGTTATTGAGTTATTGTACAGCATGCTACCAGTTCACTTAGTGCCTGTGAATTTGCTAATGGAGATTAAGTTTCAAGTTGTTGAATTTACTTCCCAACTTTTAATCAGCCATGCAGTGATGAGTTAAATGAGTTAATGTCCTGGTGCAACATCTAATTTTTAATTCTAATTTTGACGAGGGGTGGTATCCAGTACTATATTCAATTATGAAAGTGACCACTTTTTTCTTTCGATGATAATATATGTATATGTATATCAAAATGTGTAGCTGAAAGAACAGTTTATATGGCCTACACGGACCGCCTCCAACTATGTATTATATATTACTACTACTAGAAAACCCGTGGTCACAGGGAGGAAGGTAATAGTATCCTTTGATAGTAAGTTTTTATCGCATCAAAAAATATCCGCGTCACGACCGAAGATACAGCGGCTGTATTACAGCCGATTAAAATGTATTTCGCACTAAACGCAACGCAATTACGTCAAAACCGATCAAAATGTCGCTCACAAATCTTTTCACGTGCACGTGCGTGTAACAAACCTCGTTACCATGGTTACTTTTCAACTTCTATTTGTTTACCTAATTTGCACGTGGGCAATCGTACAGCATTGAGCATACAGCAGAAATAATTCTTTGAATTATAATGGAGACTAGAAAAGACTTAGAAAGCCCGTGGTAACAGGGATGAAGCTACTATGTAGTAGTTTTATATTTTTTTGCAGTCAGTTCTTATCAAATCAAAAATATCCATAACAACCGAAGATACAACCGATTAAAATGTAGCTCGCACTAAACACTACCTACGTAATATCAACAAAACCGATAAAAATGCCGTTTTAACAAGAATTGCGCCCGTTTGTTCGACTGTTGGCGGACGCTAGATTTCCATCCACTTGTACCAAATGTCAAAATTTTATCATACCTTGGCCTTCAATTAATTGTTTTGTTTCTGGTGTCACGTGAATTGGCTTAAAGTTAATTGACTAACTGTATGGTTACAGAAACCCAAATAAAAGACAATCACAATGAAAGTATGATGTATGAAGTAGAGTTGACCGGACCAGCTTGATATAATTGTTAATTAGCTCAAGTTAGGAGTTGCCGCTAGTTTCCTGATGTCTGTCGATGTTAGGGGATCAAAATATCTGTGCATCGAAGAAAATATGAATAAATAAAGTGAATGTTGTCCAGTCACAGCGCGCGTGGAGGTAATTTAATTAATTTTACGGATAAGCCGCGCGGCTGTATTCTGAAATATCGCGTGTAGATTTGAATGTTGTCCCTCCGCAAACGTTAAGATCAAAGTTGCCATAACAACGCGCAACTCTGTGCCAGAGAAAATTAATACACGATATAATCTAGGTTGCGGTGAAATAGGAATGGATAAATAAGGAAGAGAACATATTATTATCATGTTGTGCTTAGAACTGGTCCCTCTCTTCCACTTTCAAATTAGTGGTTATACAAGGTTGAATAATGTTTTATAGTCATACTTCAATGATACCAATTATTGGAATTCAAATCTCACTGTTCAGTATGTTAATTAGTTCAGTATGAATTATGATGGAGTGTTAATAACATTGTCTTGCTAGGTTAGTGTAAAGTAGAAGATTTGTAGATCTGTGAAGAAGGAAGTAATATCACTCAATCAGCAGCCGATGGTGTGCGTTATGTTTCCAATTGGTGCTGACAAAATTGTGTTCACAGCTGCTCTGAAATCAGTTGATTATTCAATTAGTTGGTCATGTGATCGACAGATTATGTCACTAATGTAGGTTCAAAAAGGTATATTATATTACTTCGGAATCAAGGGTGACAGTCTTGTCGAGTAATGTTGAATTTACGAACCATTTCATGAATTGTGATGTGATAAAGTTAACTGTCAAGGAGGGCTGATTCGAGGACGGCATTTGTTTCTATAAGTGAGCCTTTGGCATGCAAGGAACTGTCGACAGTTGTGAATGTGAAAACTGGAAAAAAGCAAGTAACTGATCTGAAAAGGAAATAGTTGTGATTGTGCCGTGCGTAATATTTCAGATACATTAAATCAGAAGTGTTGAAGCAATCCGGAATGAAAACTGGAGAAAACTTAGCATAATGCACATAATAATTGTATTATTATATGAAAAAGTATAAAAACACCTTCCCTTTTACGTCATGTAGAGAATGAGGTGAGGTAATTAGCCTGAGAACAGTTGATGATGAGGTACAATAACCACACGCAGTTAACCACTCTTCTCAGTTTCCGTTAGCACGTGACAATCCCACGGGTAAATTGCTCGGACGAACCTCTTTGCAAACATATGATAATGCATCCAATCTTATCTGATAACTGAGGTATTACAGGGGTTTAAAGTTATATAATGAGATAATAACGTGACATTTATGACATATTGAAAGTATAAGGTAACAAAAGTATATCGATTAATAGTTGCAGAAAACAAATGTAAAGTTAGAGTGCAAGTTAAATGAAAATGTAGTATGTGCATGTCATTTATTGCTAATGTGATAATAGAAATTGGTTAATTGTGGAGAGCATAAATTAAAGTAGATATAATTATATAAGATAATGTTGGTTAAATTGTAGAATAGTAGTAATATGCAATGTTATAATTGTTGTTATAGCTTGTGTCTTAAACTTCAGTGTCCTGTTGTACGTCTAACTTCCTGAAAACGAATAATGTTAGGAGGAACTATGGTGCAATGAAATATTACTACTGATTTTTTTTGGCAATTTTAACCAATAACGGTGAATAAGTAATTGAAACTAATTAGTATTCTCAATGTGAAGCATTATTATAGGCGACAAAAAAGATTATTGCTTTAAAAAACGCGACTGTATTACCTGTGTAATCAGAACCTCGAGTGTAAGAATGTAAGGCTGACTACACTGTGACACCGCAAGAGTCACGTTACAACAGCACTGGTATGGTGTTGTGAAAGTTCTAGGATAGGAATGGGGTGAGTGGTGTTCGTGATTGTTAGAAATTATTGGTGACAGTAAATAAGAATTAGAATGTAAGATTATTTATAAGTGCAAGGGGCTAACATTCACAATGCCGAGGGTGAAATTACAGTTCATGAGATGGGGAATGCGCAGAGGCCAATTTCTAAAATAACAGTATCCAATGAACGCCATGACCATCGTCTGTATTAACTATAAATAAGGTTGGGGAGGACCTGTGCGTTAGACTTAAACTTATCCAAAGGTGTATGATGCGGGCTTTAAACGTAGACTTACTATGGGAGGTTCTACATTGGAAAGATAATCATTTCTATGTATAAATATAAATTGTGAAAATGGAGCGAGTAAATAGGAATAAGATCAAGGCAATTAGTTTCTGAAAGGAATACGGGACTTGTGCCGGAAATATTAAGAGCATGATTACCTAGTGCACCTATGTCTGTTCAAAATCCGAGGCTCCCCAATAGTTACAGTCGAATAGTGATGCGTGAAACCATGACTGGCCTGTCGAAAGGAAGGACTTCGTTTAGAAATGACTCTAGAGGCGATGTAACCACAACTGGAATTAACCTGGATATTAGCAAAGGAGGCATTGACTGAGAATCCCAAAGATTGTAAATAAAGTTGCAGTTTCTGCCGATTGAGGATGACCCAAAAAATCAATGACATGAGCCCTGCCAACAGGTTCAGAGAGTAACGTGTTGGATAACTGGTAGGAATTTGCATAACCGGATTGTTGACCACATCTGCATTGCATAAAGGAGAAAGAGACTTTGTCGTTTTGAGATGTTTACTTAGAAGTGGACTTGCTGGATCTTGAGGAGAGTTTGGTAAAGGACGTTTGAGACCAGTAGAAGGCTGTGGAGACATCATAGAGAGCGGAGAATATAATGAGGTAGACTTGAAATGTTTCTTCGTAAGATCCGCTAATGGAGAAAAAGGAATGTGGCGTTTTAATACAGCAGGCGAGGTGATGATGGTCTTGTGCGGAGAAGATGAAACATTAAATGGGTTACTGCAGGGAAGAGTGATGGGATCAGATGGTATGGGAACTCATTATTAAAACTTCTTCACAAGTAGCTGCAGGAACATTATGACCTTGGAGGACAACACAAAATTTAGGAACATCACGTAGTCGAGCATACTCATCTACAACTTTCTTAGATGTGCGAATTTGCCTGGGGTCAAAAGATATGAAGTGCAGACCAAGGAGAGATGTTAATCTAGAGATAGCAGTGGTATGCCTTGCCTGACTGCCATGAGTGACCTTTTGATGCTCCAGCGAGGAATACATATGCTTTGTTCAAAGTCAAACCCTGAACTTTGTGAACAGTGCAGGCCCAAGAGAGAACCATGGAATTTGATAGCGTTTGAGCCACGTTTTACTATTCTTTTTGGAGATAAATTCCATTTCCACGGCTTTATTGGAACAGTGCCAACCTTGGTGCAATTGTTAGCGCAGAAATTGTCACAATGATGTTTATGGTTCTGCCGACGTTAACATCATCGAACATAACATTAACGTGCCGAATGTCTCTAGCACTGCATGAACCGTCCTTGACAGTTTTGCCATTTTGGAGTTGGAAACTGTGGACAGTCCAGTCCACACCGTTTACAATTTTGTCAGGGGTGTCCGATATTAACACGCACCATGACCCTAGCTCCTGGACCAATATTTAATGAAGTTGGTAACCCAGCAGTTTTGTTCACATCGTCAGTCGTGTAATCTTGGGGTTTTCTTGTTCATTTTGTCATAAACTTTGTCGCCAAATTGGAAGATTGTTGAAAACTTCATTGGAGAATCTGTCTTGAGCAACAACGTTAACTATTGAAGAGGTTTGCTCAATTCTTGGAATGCAACTCCTGATTGTGACTGTTGCACTGCCCTATTGGTTGGATAAATGACCATTGAGTCCATGATTTCAGCAGGTTTAGGCTGCTTTTCCACAACCCTTGAACTCAGTAACTCAATATCCTCTGGGTGTGCTCTCCTACCCTAAGCCCTGTGACAGAGTTCCGTGAACTGACTGTCACCCTTTGCTCTACTATGTCCTTTACTCAGATAATGTAATTGAATCCTTCCAAAATGTTAGGCCCAAGAGCAGCGATACCTTTAGTCTCAAACCATAGTTGTTGAACCGCAGAATCTGATGAAGGTCACCACTGAGATAACGTTGATTCCCCCAAAGATTGTGGTTTCAGGAGGAACCCCAAATATTTCATTCAACGTGAATTGATCTGGTTGAGGTTTGTGTACCCACCATGGACACTTCATCTATAATGATATACCTTACATGCATGAAAGAACCTCCTCATCTGCATCTTCTTTTTTGGATTAAGTGGTTTAGGTTGGATTCTTCCGCCCTCTTGACAATCTAACTGAAGGAGTTGGTGAACAGTTTGACCGTCAATGAGAGCTGCAGCAACAACCAGTGCTAGCTGCAACAGCAACCCTAGGTTTAATAATACTGTCTGGGAACTTGCGTGAGATGCAGGAGCGCATAACATTTTTGAGGAAACTTTTACCTACTCCGCCAGCACCACTAACAAAATGAAGAAGCTGATTGACCTTGTGACCCTGTGCAACCCGGGAAGAGTGATGATCTACAATGTTGAAGAGTTCGCGCTGTTGTATCATTGAGACTGGTGACCATTTGCTGGTACTGTCATCAGAGACAATGGGCTCCTTATAAGTGACGTTGAACACTGACTTCTCTTCCTCCTTCGATATATCAATACCTTCAAAGGGATGATTGAAGAGATGCCTACCATCAAGAACTTCCTTTTATTGTCATCAAGAAGTGAATCTTTGATCTCTTGTCTTATTTCAGCTTCCATTTTTTGCAGAGTGTCGTCGTCAAATTGTTCAAACTTTTGATGTTGGGTTCATGGCATCCAACATTCTCAGCAAATGACTCTTGATAAGTGGCAAAGGAGCCAATAAGATCAGCTTCCTTTCTCCACGGAAAGTACAAACACAGTTTCGAATAGTAATACTTTTCAGGCTCCTTTGTGCGAGACTTTTTATTACTTCTGATAACTTGAGGCGAGTCTCGCCTTATCATCTGGCCAAGATTAGATTTATGAGTAATTACTTTGTGTCCTGTTTTTAGAAGTACGTTTCTGTCTAACCGAACGTATAAGGAAGCAAATTCAGCCCAGCAGATCGACTCTAAATCATCAGGACGATTGAGGTTATTGTCAAGAAGCGAGTTATGGAACACATCTTCTGAATCATCTGGCAGCTGTTGTAGGGGTAGAACGAGGGTTTGACAAATGCCATGTCTATCCCCTGGCATGTCAGAAGGGAATGAAAAGAACCGAAGGTTTGAAATGGGAGAGACTCAACTGGGGCAGACATCGAAAAATAGCTTCTTGGACGGAGACGGACCTAGAATTTAAAAAAGTATTACCAAGCTGTCTAAGGGCTTCTTTAGAGTTCTTATTGCTCGGCTGTAATATTTTTATTAACCATCTTTCAAAGCGGCCACAAACCTTTTTTCATTTTTTGGGGGGCATCAAAAATTTAACTTTAATTTAAACCCAAAATCCCAGGGTTTAAATAAAAATTTTGAACACCCAAATTTCCCTTGTATAAAAGGGGAGTAGAAGCCGATGGGTAGAAATTTTTTTTTCCTCCCCGGTTTACTTTTGGGAGGGACACCCTTTTAGTCGCAGTTTAGGGGCCTCAATTTTGGGTTTCCCCCCCACTGCACAAAATTTTGGTTGTTTTTTGACTTTTTTGTCACCATTTTCTTGTTTTCCTTAAAGAAAATTTTTTGAAAACCTCGGGAAAGGGGTTTTGGGAAATTTCCAAAAAAGGGGCATATTGTCTTTACCACCTTTTTTCCCCTTGTTTTTGTGGGGGAGTGCGGGCTAAAGCTTGATAATTTTTGGTGAACCCCCGGGATTTCTTAAAAGGGTTGGAAAATGATTTGTAACATACTTATCAATAAATTCCCTTTATTCCTCGATGGGACCTCACCTTTTTATGGGAGCCCTACTACTTTGAAGCGGGGGGTAAAAG